ACTTGTTGCAAGGTGGGTAATTTGTTAAAATCTTGACTTTTTTTTTTTTGCTTAAACTGAAGATTTCAGTTCTGTATGTATTCATAAAATGTATTATTCAGAGTGTTCAGTTGATATAGAAAGATGGGTTCCAACTTCCAATGTCCTTCAAGAACAAAAAAAAACACTGTTCTGCTTTTTTTTTTAATCCAAGTTTCCGTTGAACTCTCTATATAACCAAGCAGCCCACGCCCCAAATCTCTGCCTCTTAATAGACCAATTATGTGACTGCTTGGAGTCAATAGTACTGTGAGCTACTCCTGAGCTCCTCTCCTAACCAAGGTCAAGCTGATTGGCCCAGGTTAATGGGCAGAATGTAGAACTGAGAGAGAAGGGGGGTCAAGCACCTAGCGGCACCCTCCACCTCGTCTCTCAACTGTCCTCTTAACTACAAGAGCCCCTTTTTCCTAGCAGCGCTTTGACAAACAGCATTAACCTTGGCTGCTGCTATGGAGTCCAGAGGGCCATTGGAGTGGCTTTGTCCCCATGCATGAGTCAGTTTTATTGCTGCGGAATATTTTTGGAAGCGTTTTTTGATGAAATCCTAAAAATAGAAGAGTAGTTATGCTATGTGAGCTTGATTTAAGTGTGTGCATGTGTTTTGTTGTGTTTGTAAGATTACGACTTCTTCGGGGGCAATGTATCTAAAATTAATAACTTGCAAAGTAATATTCATTTAAAGAAGGTGGATGTGCTATTAGAGATTTGTTGCCTGAAGCAATATCTTGGTTTTAGGAATGATCTGAAACCTTTATTGCTTTTGGCCCTGTTCATTCCTTCATCTCCTTGTCCTCTCTTTATTATGAAAATTTTCTAATTAAGCAAAAACAGTTTAGCTTTAGGGGGTACACTATTAAAAACTGAGCATGATTAAGGCATCTTTGACAAAAAGGGGGGGTAAGCTGTCCTGTTTCCTGCCCCCATCATCTAAATTATGTTAGATGTATCAGAGGGATGCTTTAGGGCAGACCTAAGACTTGGAGCAATTGTCTTTGGGCTGACTTTAAAACACCTCAGAGTTCTTTCAGATGAAGATGAAGGTTTGGGAATCTGTTCAAGCTGTTGTCCCCCTCAGCTTGGATGGATTGATAGACTGACTGATTTAAATGACCGTTGCTGTCATGTGTGACAAGTTGACACAAACTGGTCATACAAAATTAGGGATGCATGATATTGGATTTTTGACTGATATGCCGATATGTTAAAACTTATTTGGCCGATAACCGATACCAATATTATTAAATTAAATAATAATTATTATATTAAATGAAAAGTGTTGAATGTTATTTATTAGCATTAGTCGCCTGCGTTGTTGTCTCACTTGTGGAGGCTTGGTCCGGGTTCCTAACTGCAGCGTGGGATCCTCTGCACTCCTGTGCATGAAGGACAGCCTTTTTAAGTTTAAAGTTTTTGTCTATCCATTGTGCCATAAAACTAATCATGCTAACACGACATCCAAATGTCTGTGGTAAAACTCACCCAAGTGCTATCGGCTATTAGCTTCTCAATGACATTGGAAATGACGGCTTGTAACTCGGGTAAGGTTATGTCAGAAAAATATCTCCGACTGGGGACGATGTAGCGAGGCTCAACGTAATCCAAAAATCTTCGGAATCCGACGTCCTCACCAATGAAAAAAACTTTGACACCGCCGACATTTTGAATTTTCTTCTCCGCCGTGAGATCAGGTAGGCGCACATGAAGTCATCACGTTGTGCTGCCGCTGCAAGCATCCTCGACACTGGGTTGTCATACAAAAACGGAAGCCTTTTATATCTGTGAGTTATTTTGATGGAATGTCCGATATTGAACTTTAACGCTAATATCGGCCGATACCATGCCGATAGTATCATGCATCCCTATACAAAATGTGTAAATGTTATACAATTAATTACTTTTGTGTTTTTATTTTTTATTGCCACTACTCTCATCCCATCTAGAACTGTGGCAGTACAATATATTAACTGAGAGTTCTTTTTGCATTAATTGCTTTTCTACAAACTACATTACCGGTAATCATCAGTGTGTGAACTGCAGAAGCAAAAAGAGATATTTCCTCCAGCAGTTGTAGAAACAGAAGCTTTTAGTGCTCTCAGTTTGAAGTCTTTCTGGTTCTTTTTCCTCTCTGACAGAATTGCAGAACTAACATAAGCAAACATCACTGATCATTAAGTTCTGGTTATCTAATGGCAAAGAACTTGGTTTGGATGAAATCTGTTGAAATTTTATTTGGTCAGAGTTTATTATTCATTTGATGTAAAAATGCTCACCTTCAGAGCAACTTTTAGTCAAGGACTACTTTTTGAAGCTGTGATGCATAATCGTCCCTGCTGGCTGTGTGTTTAAAGGCTCAATTTGTTTCAAATGTGTTGAGTGTGTGTCAGAGGCCAATGGTGGTGTGAGGACTTTTGTCAGCAGGGAGACTGAGGAACACAAAGAGTCAGCCTGGTCTGATTGTCAGGATGCTTCTCTCCAGAGAGGCACTAGTTCAGAGGTCAAATTGGGCTTTTTTTTTTTAAACTGCTTGTGTACATAGAGGGTATAAGTGTTTGTGTGTCTCTGTTACACACTATTGCTTGTGTATGAGCATTCAAATGTGTCTCCAAGTGTTTGGTTGCTTACAGTAGAAAATGGATCCCAATGGGTTATTACTTTCAGACCAAGTCCCTGTGGATGGGAAGAGAAAGGGGTGTAGGAAGATCCTGAGTGTTTGTAGGGATTGGCTGATGGAGTCCACCAGGAATGGAGCGGCTTTCTAATGAACAGCCATCTGAGGCCTTCATTCACCTTGAACATGGGCCACTGCAGCTGCCCTGACATTGGCTTTGATCCACAAAGATGCTTGACCCCCACCATTCCCCCAGAGCTACCTCCCTGCCATCTGGACAGCACACATGCATATGTATACATAGCATGTGCACACACCCACAGATGCATATTCATGTACACGTATGCTGACCCAGATGCACATGCACATATGTCTATACAGGTATTTGTCAGTGGTAATTTTGGGGGGTCATGCTTCTGCACTCGAGCCAGCCATAAGTCACTGTCGTCGTTACAAGGGCAACAAGAAACAGCATGACAAAGGATCAATTCTGCTCAGACTCATCATACAAAATGTGTAAATGTTATAGACAATAAATTCCATTTGTGCTTTTCTTTTATTGCTGTCACCTTCTCCCAGTGTCATCACTCCATAACACCTCAATATCTCCTGGTATCAGTGTCCTAACCAAACACGTTTTACTTTTTATTTTTCTTCTCACTCTCATGTGGCTGCTACGCTCTGAAGACATTACATTGGTTTCCCAGTATTCTCACTAATAGGAATGCATCCGATTGGAACGTTTGGGTTCCATGGAAATTTCCAAAGTGTAGCAAACCTCTTGTCTTTTTTTGTCGGTCCAGTTCAGCTGTAAATGACAGTTATGTCACAGGTGACTTGAGCTGCAGTCCATCTGCAGAAATGTAGGCCAGTATAAGTTTTCTCCTTTTGTTTGTTTTATGGAACATGATGAAGTTGAGTTACCTATGATACAGTTTATTGGGAAGACTTTTGTAACATTTTAGTGGAACATACGTTTTGGAATGTTGTGATTGTCCCTCACCTGCTATATACTGTATGTATCTTATTTTTATTTATCTTTTTTTTTTCTCTACAAAACTAGGTCAACATCAAAACGGCTTGGTGTCCATAACATGGACATGGTCTTTGCGTCACTGTTCTAGATGTGTTCCTTGATTAGGTTAGTGTGAGGAGATGGCAGCATCTGTGCATTTGCAGAGGAACAAGCTGTGCCCATGGATTAGTAATTAGGAACAAGGAAAAAATGAGAGTGGGAGAGAGAATGCAATATTGGTACTCGCTGAGCATCAGGTCAGATTTCTTTGCAGCAATTTTTTATATTTGTACAAACCATCGAACATTCACTTAAGCTGATTATACCTGACTCTCACACATCCCTATAATACCTTATATTAGTCTCCCTTACTTATCCCAGTCTTTTCCCACCATTTCTCATCATATTTTTGTTCATTTCTGGATAATCCCACAGTATCTCTTTTTTTATTTTTTAATGATTTTTTTCCCTCACCCACTGTAATCCATTTGTCTAACTTAGATGGAGGGCAGCGGAAGGAAGTAGCGGAGAAGAGGCGTGTGTCAGAGTCAGGGAGCGTCTGCTCCAGCTGGAGTCAATATTTGCTTTAGGAATCTCAATAACAGGCCCACAGTCATCTGCATCTCTGATAATGGACAGCCATATGGCTCTGTTGACCCACGCTGTGCCGAGACTCTCTCTGTCCCCATCTTTCCTTGTTTTTCATTTATCAGCTTCCCTCCAAATTGTTTCATCGAGTTTTTCCTTCTTTTGTAATTTTTTTCTTTCACTTATCACCTTTCTGGGCACATTTAGTTATTTTTTGCAAACGTCCTTTCTATCCATCATCCACTAAAACCTGGACGTGACCCACCACACAGAGCTGTGACCTGTGTTTCCATGGCAGCAGAGCCTGGGATGTCCTCTCTTTGTTCAACACAGTTTCCAGCAAGTGACAGAAAACAGTGACGTTGCATGTTTGGAAGACAGATATAGAGCACATTAGGAATTGCTTTTACGTGCTTAAAGTCATGCTGCTCTGCAGCTCTCCTGTGAAGAGTAGTCAATTAGTTACATTGTATTACTTTGCTGGTCTTACAACTCACTTATTCTTATATTTTTGCCTTTTCATTTGTTCTTCCCTGCTTGAATTGTGAAATATGTATTTTTATTTTTCTGGATTCAGTGGGGAATAACTTTTAGGATTTGTCCAAGACTTTTATTTTGCAGTATAATACACAAATAAATGACCAGTGTTTTGTTTTCTTTGTTAATCTAGTTCTTTTAGGAGCATTCTCATTTACTTCATCCTCTAACTTATTCTACCTTATGTCCATTTTTGTTCGTTACCCTCAACAGCTTGGCTGTTGGACCCTCTGGTGTGTCTCGGCACAGGTGCCCGTCATCCCTACTTCGCCATGGTTCCCCTCAAAGCCATTGGTCATGGCTGTCTTGGCCCCTGCTGTGGCGGCATGTGCCCACAGCCGGCACTTTGCCCAGTGACTGTCTTGTCCTATCTATCTAACCCAGACTAGCGCCCCTCGGCCCAGTCCAGCCTATCTCAGCTTAGCCTGGTACATCCTTGGCGTCAGCAACAGTGTAGTTTCACTCCACCCTGGCAATCGTAATGAGATGAGGGGGAGGACGTGATCAGTGTTCAGTAACTAGAGCTCTGTGTGTTTGAGAGTAAGGGTTCATGCATTTGTCAAACACTTTTACAGAGAAAATCAGGCTTATTCTCAGGTATGGGTACACTTACACTTTGTAAAATCTCACTTTCTTTACTGTCATTATATCATCAAATAGTCTTGTTTTTACTCCAGTGGTTTCCTACATCATATTTTCCCCAGCGCTTGCTTCCATTCCACAACAGACTTAGCAGGAAATGTCCTTGATAATGCCATGGTAATGGGTATCAGAATGTTTTCTGCTCGCACCCAGCAGCCATTTTGTAGGCTTATTTATCTACTTATTTATTGAAGTTTCCCTCATTGCAGATCCAGCCATCCATCCTGCATGCTGGCTGTCCAGGCTTCAGTCACTGCTTGTCACTCTGAATTTCAAATGGCTCCAATTTTCCCCCTGATGGCACGGAGAAGTGGCAGGCAGCACATCGGGGAGGGTGGTCCTAGACATGCAGCCTGCAGCAGGGGTTCTATTAGAGAAAACGGGGATGAGAGTCGGGAGAGGAGAGTAGTGATGTATTCCTGTTTTTATGATTATTTTGGAGACTGGCTTCTGATATTAGGCTGTGTGGCATGGCTGATTGTCCCATCTTTGCTTTTGACTGATAGTGGAGCTGCTTTCCAGTAAATCCACCTCCCGTTCTAGCTGTATTACGTTTTTGTATAGCACTGCAATATTTAATTCTAGGTAATATTTATGTGGTTGCCTATGTTTCATGTGAATTGTTGTATTTAGGACCAAGTGCAAAAGTTTTAGAATAATTTAATGATTGCATGCAATGTTTCACCTGTTGCCTTGTTTTTGCGTCTTCCTACAAATTATATTTTGTCCTTTAACGAGACGCAACCAGCTATGAGGAGCGAGCACTCTACTTGGAGGCCATTGTCCAGAACCATAAAGAAGTTATGACCTTTGAAGACTTTGCATCGCAGGTCTTCTCCCCCTCCCCTGCCTATCCAGCAAGTGGGACAGGTGAGAAATAAAGCCCACCACACTTCTGTCCTCCTTCACTGTCTTCTCATTGCTTCATCCCGACCCTAGTTTTTACCTCTCGTCTTCCTCTTTTATCATTTTTTTTAACCTCTTTAGCTACATCCATCTCTCTTTCTTGACTGCACACCTGTTCACCTCTTCCACCTTAATTCCCCCCCCCCCCCCTCTTCAACGCCTACACTCTGATGAATATCAAACAACAGGCCCTGGCTCTTCATGCGGTCCGACTGACTTCAAACACTGTTCTCCACTTCCTCAAGCCCCGCTCGCGCCACTTTGTTCATCTTTCTCCCTCTTTTTTTTTTTTAACTGCATCTTTCCATGCAATTACCTTCCCATGAATATCAGCAGCCTCTTAAATGGCAGTTGCGGAGTGCCTGTTTGTATTTGTGTATCTGTGTGTGCGTTTCCTCATGAGCTCACTCTAACACTTTAAAGATCTGACCGACAAACAGCAGCAGCTCGCGGATGTCAGCACAGCCCTCTTATCAGTCCATGATGAATAGAATGGAAAACGTGTCTTATCTTGTTCTTCCTACTTGTAGCAGCTCTGATCGATCTGCAACAGCACCAAAATCAATACGAGATTGCACTTTTCTACTCTATTGGATCCCGACACACATTCTGTTTTGACAAGGAAAGCGCTTCACAATACTACCCCACAGATGTCATGTCATTTTCAAATATGTCAGGGCTTATATCTTTTAAAGGTGCTTTAGAGTGTATGCAGCATATTTACTCTGTGTGGACAAGTGAAAATTAACTGTTGTATTATTTTGTGGTTTTGTGTGGGACTTTCAGTACTAGCAGGTGTGATATTCAGGAAGACAAGTTGTCAGTCATTTCCATACCTTTGCTCAGCCTCTCCTGCAGAAGTGTAAAATATTTTCCAGCAACTGATAAACAACGACGACGAAAGAAATGTATATAAATACCCATCCATTATCTTTACCCGCTTGTTCCTCTTTCAGGTCACCGTGGTCTTTATATAAATATATAAGGCAAAATACAAAGTTATTTTCATTTATTTGAAGCGGAAAGTAAACAAGAAAAATTAATGTATAATCTGGTTTGAAATTAGAAATGTCTTAGAAGTAAAAATAATGATTCACATCTTTGAACCTATGCTGTGACTAATGCAAGACATTAATTTAAGTGCATGCAAAAATGTGTATAGTATTTTTGCTGTGTGTGGTTTCTAAATCCAAACCAATAAATCTTTTTTTTTTTGTGATATTCATCATAATTTCAGGTTAAATTGATCAAATAATACATGTGAAATAGACGCAATCCTGTAAAACGAGCAAAATTTAGAAAAACGCAGAGGTTTCCTTAGTGAGGTGTAACCTAATGTTGTTGTGATAGCTGCAAATGGTTCAAAACAGGAAACAAACAAAAATCTAGTATTTTTTTTTTCTATATAAAAGCAAAATTAGCAGGAGTTATTTATCATCCAGTGCAACCAGAGAACAGCAAATTACATAAGTGTCTCAAATGCTCAGATACATAGTTGAGGTAAAAAGCAAACTGAGAAAATTTGACCACTATCAAAGATTACTCACTAAGAATAAGCTGAAGTGTGAGTATTTTTCTAAAAAATACACAAAGGCAGTTTTTCTTAACCTTTTAAAGCTTTGTGAACAGATTAATTGGGAGTGAGGCGGGACGTAGTCAATAAATTAACCTATTTATGAACGCAAACTTGAGTTTTCCAGTGGATTGTTAGGGTTTAAACAGATCTACATAATTCTACAAAACAACAAACCACCTCACAAATCAGCTGTATTTTACTTCTTCAACAGCAAAGTAACACAAGATGTTTTTGAACAGCATTTTAGAGAGAGGAATCTGAACAGCTAACAACAAAAAAAAAGTGCTTATAAATTTCCTGTCATCATGTGTAATCTTTTACTCTTACTCAAGGTGAACTTGTAAAGTTAAGGAAGTAAAAGTATTTTAACTACCGGTACTCAAGAAAGCTAAGCCTAATAAATACACATAGGCTAATAACTGTGCATACAGTGTAGCCATCACGTCCTGATTGCTGCTTAATTTGTTCTGGCAAGAAATTTGTTTTGTTCAAGAATCCATGCATGATAACCGATTCACAATAATTTAGTAATTTCACTGTTCACGCTCTACAAAAAAGGCCATTCTAACTTAGTCATTGGCCTCTTTTTATGAAAGTAAATTATAGGTAAGATCTATAAAATGTTAAATAAAGGTTTCCAAAATTCCTTGTTGAAATATTCATGTGAATATGTTTTACTGTTGAAGAAAAACCAACATGTATTTATGTTTGATGTGCTGGAATCACTGATAGTTTGTCAAGTTTGTTTTGAAAACTTTAAATGGTTGAGCATTTTTCACTTGTAGCAGTAGTTTTTGTGTGTGATGAAGGGGGGTGTCTTGTGTATTTTGGTCTTGTTTACTGCATTTTTAAACAATATGGTGAAGTAATTTACAGTATTTCTTAACTACAATTTAAATATGTTCAACTCTTGAGTTTTATACTTTGTAAAAATATATTTAGAAGTTTTTTTGTTGTTTGTTTTTTTTAAACCATTGGTTGTCATGACTTGTTTCATCGGGGAAATTACACAGGTCAGCCAAAACATTACAACCACTGAGTGTTGAAGTAAATTTTTTTAAATAAATTATTATGTAGCAGCGCACATCAGCAACTTCAATATTTCTGAATGTGTTTACCAAACCAAACTGATCCGGTATCAAATATTTGATTACAGTAGTCCCTCGTTTATTGCGGGGGATCCGTACCCTGAAGCCCCGCGACAAGTGAAAAACCGCGCAGTAGTAGTACAAGTAGTAATTTATTTTAGTATTTATTTATATATATATATATATATATATATAT